CCCGCTGGTTCGAGACCCACCAGGCAACTTGGTGATACCTCATCTCTACAATAAATCAAAAATTAGCCGGGTGTGTTAACACGCAGCTGTAGTTCTGGCTACTTGGAAGGCTGAGGTGGAAGGATCACCTGAGCCTAGCTGGTTGAGGCTATGGTGGCCAGGAGGGTGCCACTGTACTCCAGTCTGGACGACGGAGTGAGACTCCAACTCAAAAAATAAATAAAAATAAAAATAAAGTCAGGCTGTTGTAAGGAAAAAGCTGATACAGATTGGTAAACACATTACACATCCTGGCTAAGTTATTTGTAAATAACATGCAAACAAACACTTTATACTGTCAGCTCTGACCTGGCAAGAGCACCAGACTTGGACCTGGGATGCAGATGAAAGCAGGCCTTCCTGAGGGGACTGGTTGCCTGAAACACTGAGGGCAGACAGGTGAGTTCTCTGAGTTTCAAGCAGATGCGAGCTAGAAAAATAAAAAATGGGCTGCAGAAGACAAATAGGCCTGGGGTCCCTGGCAGCAGGTGGGTAGCTTGACTCTCATGCCAGCATAGTAATATCCAAATGCTTTTCTGACAAGCAGTGTCAACAACTAGGTAAACAACTTGGGAGTCGAGCAAATGCTTTGCAATACCTTCTGTGTGTGTGTGTGTGTGTGTGTGTGTGTGTGTGTGTCAGAGATGGAGTAGACTGCTTGTGCCAATAATGGCTTCTGACTTTGTACTCACCAGTCTTTCTCATTACAGTTCTCAAGTCGAGTGGCTTGTGGATAAACTATGGCTTTACTATCACCCACTCCATGTGCTTTTGTCATTTTCATTGTTTTGTGAACTAAGATAAGTCTACTGTAAGATTAAATTCCCCTCCTGGGAATATACCGGGAGGAACTCAAAGCACTCTATGAAAAACATCCCTACAAATGCATGTTTATTACAGCATTATTCACAATAGCAAAAACATGGAAACAACTATGCTGTCCATCAAAAGAGAACAGGATAAAAAAAAAGTGGTACATATACATGATGGAATATTATGCAGCCATAAACAAGGACAAAATTATGAACTTCACAGCAACTTGAATGGCCTTAGAGTCTATGATACTGAGTGATCTTTCACAGAACCAAAGAACTGAGTTTCACATGTTTTCACTCATAAGCAGACTTTGAAGATTTATCACAATACTACAAGAAAGGGCTTGGCAGTAGTGAGAAACTGCCAGCAGAGGTGGGGGCGGAATTGGCAGTCGTGGGAAACTGCTAGGGGAGGCAGGGGAGCACACCTCATCAACAAGGGTAACTGCAAAGTGAACATTTGTATAACTAACCCTGAATTGTACCCCATCTCTTTAAAATAAAAAAAATTTTTAAAGATTTAAATTATCTGTCCCATTATATTATTTGAATACATCAGATCTTAGGAATGATACATTGAAATTTTATTACATGAATTTTATACCCAGAGTTCATTTTTAAATGATTCCCAATTAGTTATTGAGTTCTGATAGAGACCTTTCATTTATTTGTTTTAATCTTTCACTATGGAAGTTTTCAAAAATATGCAGAAATAGAGATAATTGTAAATATCCTTGTACCTACCACTCAGCTTCAAAAACGATCAACATCCTTATTTTATCTCTCACCCCTCTTTATTTTTTGAACATTTTTTTAAACCAAGTCCCACCATACTATTATTTCACTTTTAAGCACTTCACTACAAATCTCTAACAAAGATTTTTTAAAAATGGAACCACAATGTCATTATTACACAGTCAATTGAATTAACCATTTCTCATCTAATAATCAGTTTTTTCTAGATTTTCCCTGGTTATCTCAAAATTATCTTCTTACAGATGGCTGGTTTGCATCAAAATTAAAGCAAGGTACAAACTGTATTTGTCTAATATGACTCTAAATGATCATTTTTAAAATTGTGGTAAAGACACTTAATGAGACCTACCCTTTTAACAAATTTAAAGTGTCCAATACAGTAATGTTAAGTCTAGGTACGATGTATACTGCACATCCTTAGAACTTACTTATCTTGTGTAACTGAAACTTTATACCATTGATCAGCAAATCCCTGTGTTCTCCTCACCCCAGACTCAGGCAAGCACAGATTCTATTCCCTGCTTCTGTGTGCTTGGCTGCTTTAGATTCCTCAGATAAGTGGAATCATGCAGTAATTGTATTGTAAGTGGTTAATCTCCCAGCATCATATTCTCAAAGTCTAATCATGTTGCTACACATGACAGAATTTACCTATTTCTTTAAGGCTGAATAATATTCCATTGTAATATAAACCACATTTTATCAATACCAATCCCTTCTCTGCTTTTAATGTCATGTATTAGTCAAAGAAACTGGATTGACTGTGATGTAAAATCTCCTACAGTCTGTATTTTCCTAATTATGTTCTTGTGGTATTTTTTAACATGTTCATTTTCTAGCTCTTATATGTTTTAAATAAACTTGTGACCGGCTGTAGAGGTTTATGAGATTAAGTTCAAAGTCTTTTAGCAAGAATTTCTCATTCTGGTTCTTTGTCTTGTTATTACATCATATCTGGAAGTCCTTCCTCACAAAGTAGGTCTTTGAAAATGGAAGTAACTTATGGTTAAAGTCCTTTTTCAAGAATATTTGAGGTGTACTCAAGGGTTTAACTAAAAATGGATTTCTGTGTGACTTTTTGAAAATGCTTTTACTATAAAAGATAATCTGTCCTTGAATTTTTCTAAACATTTATGGAACACAATAAGCCAGAAGAATTGTATTAAGGGTATGCCACTTCTGATCTTAGGAGAGAAAATTCATCTTCTGAGCTGCCTGATAATATGGTGCCTCCCTTACAGGAGCTTTTCCAGGCAATCCCACTGTCTTAAAATTTTTAATCCCCTCATGTTTATGGAATGTTCATAGTTTCAGAGAGAACTGGATTAACACAATAACAAGAATGAATTTCCACGTCCCTCAGGTGAACTGTTTCACAGGTAGCAAATGTGTGAATGAGGTTGGAGAAATGTGTCAGCAAGTCAGACTTCAAATTTGGTCTGTGGCTGGCTGCTCTGCGGGGGTTGGAGTCAATACTCACCCAAAATTTGGTTTGCATATGGAGGCTAATGGTACCCGATACATATACCAAAATAACGTGAAGTTATGTATTATGCACATAGTGAGTCTTTCTGGGGAGGGCAAGGCACGTTCAAAAAGCAGGTATGAATATGGCTCAAGAAAGTGGGCGGCAGGGAGGCCCTAGTTCTGTTTCTAATGTAGCTAGCGCATGGGAGATGGCATGGGGAGTCCTATTGTGCAACCTGAATTTGTCGTATCAAAGCTTTTTTTTTTTGAGTTTGGAGTCTCACTCTGTCACCCAGACTGGAGTGCATTGGCCGCTCCCGGCCTCGACCTGCTGGGCTCCAGGGAGCCTTCCGCCTCAGCCTTCCAAGCAGCCGGAACTACAGGCGCGCGATCCCACGCCCGGCTAATTTTTGATTTATTGTAGAGATGAGGTCTCGCCAAGTTGCCCAGGCGTTAATTGGCTTTCCAGTAGGCAAGAGTGAAAGAGACAGGGGTGGGCTTAAAAACCATCACAACCAAGCATCAAAAACAATCACAATCTACTACAAAGGTAAATTCTTGTTTAATTTGATGTGTAAAACATAAAAAGAATGTAAGGAACTAAGACATTTGGGAGTTTTGCTTTTAGATATACATGTGTGAGTATGTATATATGAGTGTGTGTGTGTTTTAAAAATACCATAAGTAAGCCGGGCTCGGTGGCTCAGCCTGTAATCCCGCACCTTTGGAGGGTTGAAGTGAGTGGATTGCCTGAGCCCTCGGGTTCGAGACCCGCCTAGGCAACTTGGCGAGACCTCATCTCTACAATAAATCAAAAATTAACGGGGTGTGGTAGCGGGCACCTGTAGTTCCAGCTACTCGGAAGGCTGAGGCGGAAGGATCGCCGGAGCCCAGCAAGTCGAGGCTGCGGTGGCCGGGAGTGGCCACTGCACTCCAGTCTGGGCGACAGAGTGAGACTCCAACTCAAAAAAATAAATAAATAAATAATAAAAATAAAAATACCATAAGTAACATTTATGGGGACCCTTCTGTGTGTAGGACCCTTGTACTTTATTTGTAGTATCCACTTAATACAACATTTATAGCATGTGAATGAGCTACTCTTGATCCTATTTTACACATAAGGAAACTGAGGTGCAAAGATACCAGACCCTTGCTCAAAGTCATAAAGTTAAAGTGGTGGAACCACGTTAAAACGAACGCACGCACATGTCTCCCGAGAGGCACTGGAACCATTATGTATATATTTAGTGCGCTAGAGCCTTGCAAACATAAATATCACCTGGTGGGCTTGTTAAATCACCAATTAATCGCCAGTAATTCCTACTCCCAGAGTTTCCGAGCAGGTCTGAGGTGGGGCCTGAGGAATGGCCTTTTTAATGGCGTTCTCAGGATGCTGTGGTCAGGGCCAGCACTTTGAGAACCACTGTTACACACAGCTTTATCTGAACACAAGTTTGCATTTTACATGTGATTTAATCTTCTTCAGTGATATATCCTCATGGCATTAGATGTGGTTAAAGTCCTTACTTTGTCCAATTTGAGGTTTAATATCTTTTGGCATTGGTTAATAGTTTTCCAACAGTAGTGAAAAGGTTTTAGGAGTTTTGCAAAAATGATCTTGGAGTGTGTAAAAACTGTATTTGCTTTTGTAAGTTGCTATAAGTAGATTTAACTTGTATTTAAAAGGTTTTTAAAGAGCCATACACGGGGGGGAAAATAACTTCATAAAACCAAGTGTACAGCAGAATACAGAGAATTACTTCTTTTTTGAAGAGCTCATACAACCTGAAGAAAAGTTTTGCAGAATCACAGAACCATTTGTGTCAACTATATTCTTTAATAAAATCTACTGATGCTATGATTAGCCAACAAAGGACCAATTTACTCATTTGTTTAAAAAAAAAAAAAACATCTGGCTTTTCCCCAGCTGCCACCAAGGTGCTCGGTTCTTCCGAGGGAGCTAAGGCCGTGTTGGGGTGAGGCCCTCACTTCATCCGGCGACTAGCACCGCGCCCCGCAGCTCCATTCCGCACTCGCAGCACCGTGTCCTCCATGTCCGAGCTCGCCTGCATCTACTCGGCCCTTATCCTGCACGACGACGAGGTGACCGTCACGGAGGATAAGATCAACGCCCTCGTTAAGGCCGCCGGGGTGACCGTGGAACCTTTCTGGCTTAGCTTGTTTGCAAAGGCCCTGGCTAACGTCAACATTGGGAGCCTCATCTGCTTTGTGGGGGCTGGCGGGCCTGCACCTGCAGCTGGCGCTGCCCCAGCTGGGGGTCCTGTTCCCACTGCTGCTGCTGCTCCAGCTGAGGAGAAGAAAGTGGAAGCAAAGAAGGAAGAGTCTGAGGAGTCTGATGATGACATGGGCTTTGGTCTGTTTGACTACCCCTTTTATAGTGTGTTCAATCAACAGCTGAACTCGGCAAAAAAAAAAACAACCAAAAATCTGTATCAAAGAAATTGACTTTATTGGTACGTGGTTAAAATTATTGGGTAATTAGCAACAGTTTTTATCTTGCAGTCAGAAATCTTGTCATTATAGCAGATCCTAAGAGTTTTACTGTGCTGCCTTACTATTGGAGTAATTTCTCATTGTTTTTTTTTTTTGCACTTTTTGTCCTCTGAATTTGTACTGCACTGCCCTCTGGAGGACAGAACTCATCATAGCGCACAAGTTGTAGTTAGGAAAATTCTTAACAGTCTTTCGTAAAGACAAACTGTGCTTCAAGAATGTGTGTTTCATGACAATAGCACTGGAAAAAATAAATAGGAAAAATTTTTAAATTATAACCTATGCCAATATTTTATTTGTCATTTTTGGGCAGTGTTGTTTATTCATAACAAGGATTTTAACTTTAAGTAATTATGCATTTTTCCTGGCTGGCTTTTAAAAATTAGAGTCTAAAATTTTCCTCATCTTGAGGCAAGAGTTTAAATCTCGAATCCATGAGATTTGCTTTTCTGATATTCAGTTTCTCTTTTTCATTTTGAATATGCATAAGATTTTCCATTAAAATAATAGATTTGTTTTTATTCATTTGCCAATAGTTTTCACACGTAGTCAAGGTTAGCACTTTCAAATGTAAGTATGTGTGGTTGTTTAGGTTATAAAATTTTTAATAAAAATATTAAAGTATTTTTGTAGGAAATAAACTTATTGAACTTGAGTGGTTGATAAAAATCAATGAATTCAAATAGAAAAGACTGGAAAAAAATCTTTAAGGAACATCTAAATGTCTTTAAGATCTTTCTTGGGTTTTGAAAACTACTGGTTTTTTTTTTTAATACTTCCATAAAAACAAATTCAGAATGAATTTCATGAGACAAAATTTGTGAAAGATGACATAGTGACAATGTTGACACCATGATTGTACTATTACTGTTTATATTTTATTTGATCCATATGAACTTGGTGTAATAAAATAAGTTATTCAGTGTTTTTCTTTTGTGCTTTGGTTTCAAACGTCAAGATTTATTTGGCTATGACCTTGGAGCTGAGAAATAGGTAAATTTTACCAAAAGAAGCAATAAAGAATAGAGGAAACTTTAGAATATCTTCTATTTTCATTTCTTATTTTTGTGTAGAAGTTTTAACCAAAGCAAAAGCATATACATGTTAACCTCAGACTGCTAATGAAAGCCTCATATAGACCAATTCTCATTTAACACTTTTAAACTGCCAGTGCAAATCAGGATGTGTGATGAAAAAAGATGGAGCTAAAACTGTTAAAGTGTTGTTTGTCTCTCTTAGCTGTTTTCAACTCCTGTAACTTCAAGGCTATTCCACAGTGTGCAGTGTCAAGATCTTAAAACAAACAAGTCACTTTCTATTTGTTTTTCAGCTATAATATAGGCAAAGTCCAATTAGTCAATTAATAGAAACAACTCAGAAATGAGAATCAATTTCCAAATGACCCTGCGTGCAGGGGGTAAAACTCAAGAAGAAGCAGGGATGAAGCAGAAAAATGAAGGAGGGAAGTTCACTGCTTTTTAATTGTTTTTTTTTTTTTTACTGGTTCAGTCAGATACTAAAAATATGCATTAATTTCTAAATTGCCAACTCGAAATCTACAGAATTGGGTTAAAGTACTGCTTTTTATTTATCCATTCATTCATTTAATAAATATTTGTTTTCTGACTGTCAGCTTTGTGCAAATTATGGCGCCTTTCCCTTTGATTATCTAAAATAGAAATAAAATAGATAATGCTGTGCCTTTCTGTATATGACTTTAAATCTCTATTCATTACTCCTTTCTCGACTTCAATTGTCAATATCTACTTACAATACATATTTCAAATTTCAATGGAAATAAGCTCATATAAGCCAGAATCAGATGCAAGATTATAATACATTGCCTATTACATAATTATTATTTATTTAGCAAACAGAGTACGTTTATCTTTTCTCTTCTAAATATAAGCTTTTTAAAATGCATCATCACTCTGCCTATCAGATTTCACTTAAATTTATACATTAAGTCAGGGAGCTCTTGTGTCTGGATTTCACTGTATTACATTGTCTTCTTAGTGCGTTTTACCTTTCTCATAATAAAACTAATTCTGAACATATTACTACTAACTGCAAATTTGCTTTTATTCCACTTTGACTATTGAAATATTTTAATAAGTTTGTGCCAATAATTTTACAACAGGAATGTTCCTGTACTTTATCTGTTAATCACTATAACCTGAATTAATCTAGCTACATACCTGCTTATTTAATATTGTGATCCTGGAAGGGTTCAAGCATATTTCTGTGTGCATATTGAGTTTTCATTTTGCTTAAAATTTTAGAGTAAGATTTTGGTTTTCTGTGTTTAATGTTTAAAGTAATATTAAAAGTTCTGAAGTTGCCAAATCACTTGCTTGGCACATAGATTTGTTGACCTTCAAATATGTGTATTTATGAGTTCACATTTTCTGATTTCTTCACCACAACAGACATCTTGCAAGTATGGTCACCACCACTCCCAAAATACATTTTCATCCTCACCTTTGAAGACTTTGACATACAAGTGTTGTCTCTAATGTACTGGTATAATTTTAAGTTGCTTTCTATATTACAAATATTATTTTAACTAGAATGGCTAAGATTTGCCCAATCTCTGGCTAGTGGTGTGATTACTCAACTGAAGATTTAGATTCACACATCTACTCCTTTACTTACTTGGCTAAACATAAGTAACTTAAAAAAAAAAAAAACTTTTTGTGGTATAGTTACTATGAAAACATAAACACAAGTGAATTGTACTAAAATGAACTTTGAGGATTCCTGTGTAGGAGCTTATTGGATGTGTCTTAAAAAGCTAAGCAGCTGAATGAGGTACATAGTTTGAGATACCCACTTTTTTCACTCATTTCAAATACACTACCATAGTAAAAAGCAAAATTCTTGTGACAAAATGTATTTTATTAACCTTGATGGAACTCCACTGTTAACAATATGGCAAATTATTTTGCCTTTTGAGACAATGTCATGAGAGCAAGCACAGTCATACCAGCATCTTTGTGGGGTAAAATCTATTAAAAAGTCCAGCTGAAGCCTTATATCCTAAATGGGATTGATATATAAATATTTAAGGAGTGAATTTATTGAATTAATCTTAAGCAATCCCCACCTCTTCAATCTTCACATTTGGGGCAACTTCAACTTTTGATTCATGTCTTTTAATAGCTTCTGATTGAGTTAGATATTAACAGCATAGAGAGTGGTTGTGCACCCATTTCTTTTAGAAGTTACTTATGTCTTAAATTAATGATCTTTCACATCTCTATTAATGACCCTGAAGAGGGAGTTAACCCATTAATGTATTTTTGCAGATGATCTAAAGGTAGGAGTTTTGGTGTATACTAGTTAAAATGAGAAAACTATTCTAACTGACCTTGAGAGATTAAAAGAACAGATCTGCTAGGAAAAAAACTTGATAAAAAGATAAGCTAAAAAATATGACACTCTGAAACCTATCAAAAAATAGTAAAGATTATTTGTCTAAGTATGAAATTGACAACACTAATTTAGGAAAATATATACAGAATATTACCTAGAGCTGTTTTGGAACAAGACAGTAAGTATAATGTCCATTATAAAACTGGAACTAATTTGAATTTTTGACCTAAGAAGGAATTAACTGCAAGTTTTCTGATATAATTGAGAAATTTGATCTTATATCAGTTGAAAAATGATTCAACTTAGTAAATCTCAGGTTATTTTCTTCTTGATTTTCTACTTCCTAAAAACTAACCCTGGGAAAGAAGAGTCTTTTCAACAATGGACACTGGGAAAACTGGACATCCACATACAAAAGAATGAAGTAGGACCCTTACCTTACACCACATACAAAAATCACTGAAAATGAATCAAAGACCTAAATTTAAGACCAAAAACTACAAAAACTCTTGTAAGAAAGCATAATAAAAAAGCTTTAAATGTTGAATTTAGCAAAGATTTCTTAAATATAATATCAAAGCTAGAGGCAACAAAGAAAAAACTAAATAAACTGGACTTCATCAAAATTTAAAACATTTGTAAATCAAAAGACATCACCAATGAACAAAAGACAACCCACAGAATAGGAGAAAATATCTGCAGATCTTATATCTAATAAAAGATTAACATCCAGAAAGTATAAAGAACTCAACACCAAAAAACAAACACCCTGATTGAACAATGACCAACAAACTTGAATAGACATTTTTCCAAAGAAGATATACAAGTAATTAGTAAGCACATAGAATATGCCAAACATCACTATTCGATAGGAAAATGAAAATAATAATCACAATGAAATAACATTTCACACTCATTGAAATGGTCATTATAAAACAAAAACAAAAATAACAACAACAACAAAAACACTGGGGAGGGCCTGGATGACTGAGTATAGACATCTTATACCACAGTTGCTCTCAGCAAAGAAAATGAAATGGAGGAACAGCCTAGGACTTTGAAGATCAGCCTGAAAACACAAACTGAGTTTAGATGGTCTCCAGGGGACATGGAGGACAGACAGCTCCAAGTCCCAGCTACCTCCAGAAGCAGCCATCTCAGGAGCTGATGAGAGCGCTCTTGGAGAAGGAAGATTTAGGTGAAGGTGAAGATTTTTTTCTCCACACCTCACACAAGCCTCTGCATTCTCAATCAAGGAAGACACAGTCCAGGTCAAGCCTGTGCTCCCATCTTGCACTAGCCAGGCACAGAGAGCTACTCAGAATCAGGATAAATGCACTAGCATGATTCACATGGAGCCTGGAGAACCCCAGTTCCTGGTGAGTCCAGGCAGACCAGTAGCCATCAAATCCTCCACAGAGAGGACATCAACTCCTCCTGTTTCCTGCAGGGGTGGTCTGTGAATGTTTTGCCCCCCTCTCCCTCTGCAGTAGAGGCAGTGCACACACTTTAGGGATGATTCACCTGTTGTGGCCCTAGATCAGGGATGCAGATGTGACTTGTCCTCAGAGGGCCAC